AGTTATCTATCTTCATCTAGAGATATATAATATACAGATACAATAGATATAGAATGTATAGAAATACATCTCTATAGAGCTATAGATACTAGATTACATATTTATAATATAATAATTTAAGATATATATCTATATATTTATATTATATGACATATATATTTAATAGTTATAGAGAGATAGCAGTAGAGAGAACTATAGATGGGTGACAGATGATTGACAGATGACACGTGCATACATACATCCCAGTGATTGTGTCTGTCCGCAGAATCCTAACACAGATTTCCTTGTTTACCTCTGACAACACCAGACGCAGACCCTCCGGATCCCCGTTCTTTGCCTCCTACGTGATTAGCTGGACGGCTGGTCCTCACTGAGCAATCAGAACAAAATGCTTGTTAAGCGTGGATAAGTTCCTCGCCTTCTTCCTCCAGGCCCCTGACTGGGGAAATTGAGGCACAGAGCCGCTTGGTGACCCTTCCAGGGCCGTCCAGCATGTCTATGGCAGAGGCAGGATTCGAACTCAGGGACCCCGCCTCCCAGACCCGGCTGGCCCTGCTGCTGTCCCGTTTCCTCAAGAACCGAGACTGAAAATCCCTGGGTTTGAAGAGGGGGGTGGGGCCGGGGCCTTCTGGGCGGGGGAGCAGCGAAGTGCTGGTGCGGAAGCCAGAGCGAGGGGAGCAGGAAGCAGGGCATGGGTGATAACGGCACCTGGCGCGCATCGGGCCCTTCCTACCTGCCGGACACTGTGTGCCCCCTGGGAGGTCAGAAGGGGAAACTGAGGCCCAGAGACGCACACGAAGGCCCCAGAAGCTGTGCAGAGCCCTCTCCCCTCTGTCCCGGAACCAGGGCTGGGAGGGGGGCAGTTCCTAGCCTGCACCGCTTCTGGCCCCTGACCCAGGCCCCAAGACAGGAAGGCGGCGGCCAGGACAGCCCTGCTGGGGGCCAGGGGAGGGGCCAGGCCTAACGGCTGACAGGAGTTCTCAGAATTTACAGTATGATGGGGGCAGGGGGAGTGGGGCCACCCCCAGGGCCTGGCAGCAGCAGGGAGTGGGGGGCGCTGGGGGCCTGGCTCAGACCTCTGCCCTGACAGCTGTGGCCTAATGGCAGGGGCCTCCTTGTCCTCCGTTCCCCCGTGTCTTTGAGCCTTCAACCCTCCCAACAAGGCATGGGGGGACCACATATGGGGGGACTTGAGCTTGCACACCCAGGCTCTAGCACACACACGTACGCTCAGGCCATGGGCACACATATGTGTGCACATGGGTCTCATCACACATGCTCACTCAGGAGTGTGTGTGTGTGCACACACGCACATGTAGTCATCTGCCCCCCACCCCAACACACACACACCCCACAAAGCCAGGGCGGCAGAGTCCCCTGCCCCTGCTCTCTGGGGGCCACGTGTCCAGGCTGGGACCCACTGGGCCACCTCCTTCCACACCCCCTCTGCCCTCAGCTGCCCATCTGTCCTCCATGCATGGCACATCCTTTTCCTGTTTTAATTGAGGTGACATTCACATAACATAAAATTCACATTTTAAAGCAAACATTTCAAAAATGCACTTAGTGGCTTTTGTGCAAACACCACCCCCATCTAGCTCCAAAACCTCTCCATGACCCCAAAGGGAAACCCCAACCCCAAGACCGGTCACTCCCCACCCCTACCCCGGCCCCAGCAGTCACCACCCTGCTCTCTGTCCCATGAATTTGCCTGTTTCAAATATTTCTCAGCCACAGTGCCTTTCCCTGTATCTTTAAATTATTGGGAAATCATGCCACATGTGGCCTTTAGTGATGGCTTCTTGTGGAAACTCTTGCTTTCTAATCTCAGTTTAAATGTCACCTCCTCCCAGAGGCCTTCCCTGACCTCCCCAATCCCTGCTCACCAGCCCTCCACCCTCAGGCGCCTCTGACATAATCCTGACCATCTGTTTCTGCCCTCGGAGGGTGTCCATCTCCTCCAAAGCACGGGCTCCAAAGGGCAAGGAATCGGTTCCGTTCTCTCTGGAAAGCAGGACTGAATTAATAAGTCAGTGACTCCCATGACACTCTGCCCCCTAACGTGACGCCTGAGTCCTTGTCAAACCTTGGATTCACTTCAACAGTATTTATCGTGCACCCACTGTGTGGCAGGTCCTGTCCCAAGTGGGGGCTCCTGCAGTGAGCACAGCAGACAGGTGCCCTGTACCTCTGGGTGCCTTTATCCCCGGGGCAGCAACAGACCGTCAAACCCGGTGACCCAGGATTTATCTGCACCCAAAGTTGTTCCTAGGAGAATCAACTGCTCCTGTCCAAGTTGTTTACTCACTCAACAAATATTTATTGAACACCTACTGTGTGTAGGGTCGACACACATATTGGAAGTATTTTAGCATGGCTGTTCAGGAAACCCATCCCTGAGAAAGCAGCCCTGGAGCCCAGACCTGATGATGGAAAAGGAATCACTTAAAGATACTGGGAAACGCATTGTGGCTGAGGGAACAGCAACGGCCGAGACCTGAGGCAAAAAAGGACGTCAAGGAAGAGAGTTGGCTGATGACGCCAGCAGTGATGAGGGAGAGGTGGTCCATTCTCCCCCAGCTGTGCAATGTTAGGAAGGATGGGTAGCTTCTCTGAGCCTCAACTTTCCCATCTGTTAATAACAATAATAATAATAAGCCTTTTGCAAAGGGTGAGACAAAATTTAGGGTACTGGCCAAGGCCAAGATGCCAGGAAATAAACCCCTTATTCTGGGTAGCAGACCCTATGGGGTCACAGTTATTGTGGGGCAGGTGTAAAACTCTACGTTCTTCCTACCCCTGGTCTTGCATGGCTGTCCTCCTCACTGGGGCTGGGTGGAGCCCCCTTACATCCAGATTATCTCCAGCTCTTCCCGTTTCCCAGCCTTGACTATTTCTAGTCGCTTCCTCCTCTGGCCTTTGCCCTTCCGGCGTCCACCACATGTGCCTGACAGCCCACTCTCCCACACTTGTCCAAAATGGTTATTTAGTGGAAGGCAGCTTTATAAAGAAGAAAAGAGAAACACGCTCATTTCCCTCCCATGAATCCACCTCATGGAGCAGCTTTACCTGCACTGCCCCTCCTGTCAGAAAGGGCCAGAAACAGGGACGGGAAGAGCTATTGGCTCTGAGGGAAAGGGGCACATGACTGCTGTGGGCTGATGAGGTACAGCATCACTGCAGTCAGTCACCCCCTTTCTCAGACAATGAGCCAGCTCCCCTGCACTTATGTGGCAGGTTTATTTATTTTCACTCAGCCTCACACACCACAGGATGCACTTATAGCAGAAATATGCTCAGAAACTCCCCAGCAGCCCCATCTCACTACAGAGGAAGCCACAACCCACAGGCCCTGCATGACCTGCCCCCTCCCCTCCCTGTCCTCACCTCCCTCTCCCCCTCCTCCACTCTGCTCCAGACACATGGGACTCTTTGCTGTTCCTCTTACTCACAAGGCAAAGTCCTGCCCCAGAGCCTTTGCACAGGCTGTGCCCTCTGCCTAGGGAGCAACCTCCCTCCAATACATGTATGGCTTCTTAAGTCTTTGCTCAAATGTCACCTTCTCAGCAAGGCCCTTCCCAACCTCTCTACTTCAATTATTATTCCCCACCCACTGCTACATCTCCCAAGCCCCCTACCTCTTTTTCTTTCTCCCATGATACTTAACTGCCATGGATCTTACTTTCCTTGTTTATTTTTTTATCTGTCTCCCCCACTAGGCTGCCAGCACCACAGAGTCAGGAACCACATCTGTTGTGTCCACTGGTCTCTCCCATGCCTGGAATGTGGTATGTGGTCAACATACAAGTGAGAGAGTGAGTAAACAAGTGTTTTCCAAGTGAGTAAATAAATGTTTCAAATTAATTTATAAACAAACAGTTATTATGGTTGAGCCCTGAGTTTAGCCCTGAGTCCCCAGGTGGCCAATGCAAAAAGGGAAATTGGATTAGTTACATTCTCCATGAGGATAAAACAATCTAGTTCCTAGGCAAAAGCCCTGTGCCAAGCCATTTATGTAGTTCTTCTCATTTAATCTTCACAAGTCCCTGCTGGAGGAGCTCATTTAGAATCTCCATTTACAGATAAGCAAGGGAAGCTCAGTAATATGAATGAGCCCACCCAGCCAAGATAGGATGCTGGTCTTTCCCAGCCCAAATTCATCTTCTCACACTAAGTCAGCTTTCCCAAAACTGGTCTGATTATAAGAATCATCTGGATGCTAGTAAAAAGTACAGATTCCAAGGCCTGTCTCCTAGAAAGTTAGATTCAAGAGATCTGTAAATAAGCACCTCTAGGTGGTTTTTTTAACCAAGAAATATTAAATAGCGGCACTTATGCAACACAATGGAAGAAAGAAAGAGGCTGGGTTAAATACCTAAATGTGAAAAGCAAAACTTGAAAATGTTTATAGGAGCATTTAAGAGATTATCTTTATGACCTTGAGACATGGGAGGATTCTTAAGACAAAAATGTACAGACTAGAAAAGATTGGTAAGTTTGACTACACTGAATTTGCAACTTTTGTTGGAATGAAATACTCTAGGAATAAAATAAGAAGACAAGTCACAGGAGAAGTCTGTGATTTTCATATGTGACAAAGGATGTATATCTAGAATATATAAAGAGCTTTGAGAAATCAATAAGAAAAAGATAAATGTCCCAACAGGCAATTCATCGAAGAGGAAACCCAAGTGGCCAACAGATTTTGGCAAAGACATTCAACAGAGGGATGCAGGCTAAAACAATTTCATACCCACCAGATTGGCAAAAACCAAGCAGCCCACCAGAACCAAATATTAGTAGAACACAAACTTCCTTTCCATGCAGCAGTTTGCAAGTAGGCGATACCACTCTGCAGAACTCTTTGGCAATATCAAGTTTGAAGACAAGTACCCCTAGGACCCACAATTCCACTCCTGGGCATACACCGTCAGCAAACTATGGCCCATAGGCCAGACAGATCTGGCCACACCAGTTTTGGAAAATAAAGTTTTATTGGAACCTAACTACATCCATTTGCTTACATATTGTCTATGGCTTCTTTCATGCTGCAGAGACAGAGCGGAGTAGATGCAACCACAGCTGTCTGAGCACAAAGCCAAAAGCATTTACCCTCTGGCCCTTCTACAAGAAACATTTGCCAACCTCTGCTCTGGATCAATGCTTGTCGAACTTTAATGCACTGGGGGTCTCCAGGGGATCTGGTCAAAATGCAGGGTCTTATGCAGTGGTTCTGGGAGGGGTCTGGGACTTTGCATTTCTAGCAAGCTTCTGAATCATTCAGATGCTGCTGGTCCATGAGCCACAGTATCGAGGGTCCAGGTAACAGGGTTCAGCCAGGATATGTCTGTGAATCCTTGTAGACAAGGCAGAGAAAGGCAGCCTCGTCAGCATCTGCAACTCATTTTATCTCTGCCCCTTGCGATCACTAACTGAGTGGGCAGAAACTTTCCTTCAGTGTTTGTGGTATACTCAACATGGGCCAGTCGTACGTAAAGCAGGAAGGGACTTAGACGCATTCATAGCCAAAGAGATCTCACCAGCCTTCAAGGATGGGTGGGAGAGGAAATGTAGCAAGTGGTTGCAAAAATTCCTGAAATTCAGCCCCCCAAGTCAATCGTGAGTGTGACAGACATAACTGAGAAGCCAGTGGACACCCCAGGGTGGGATGTGGCACATAAGTTCTTATAGCAGCAGCTTCCAGGCAGCCACGTGGAAGTTGCCAGTTGTCCATTTGCTCTCAGAGGGTAAAGGTCACATGTGTGGTCCCAGAGCGCAGCACAGAAGAGTGATCAAAATGCCTCGGATGAATGTTCTAGACATTTGTGCAAATTCCTCATGCAAACTCCTCAGTCTGGAGGACTCTTTCTCTCTTCCAGTTCCTGTTTGGCACATGGTGGGGGCTCAAAAAATATTTGTTGAGAAAAACATATGTATTTGATGAAGAAATGATTCATACTTCAGTTCCAAGAGCCATCATATGTAAATAGCACTGACCAAAAAAAAAAAAAAAGGCCAGACCAGGATAAAGGGAAAGGATTTTGAAGAATTACAGAACATTTCCCCTGAACACAGCACTACTCTAGGGCTGAGAACAGAGCATTCTAAAAAGGAAATAAAGCAAGGAGAGTTAACATTCATTGAACACTTCCTATGTATGAAGTGCTGTGCACACAATAACTGAGATTTAATCTCCAACCATGTGAGGTAGGTGTGGCGGTCTCTACTTTAGAGAGGAAAAATGAGATGCCCCTTCCACCCCACCAGCTCCCTCCAAGCAGAGGGAGGGGAACAGTGGCCCCTGTGGTAGGACCACAGGTTGATGTTTGCAGGAAGCAGGTTTTGACTCTAGGGTGGTGGTAGGGTTTTGGAGGAAGTGAGTTCTCCATCCCTAGAGGTATTCAAGTAAAGACTGGATGACCACACAGTAGACCCTGAGGGCCCCTCCTGATGTGGAAATTCTATGATGTGCTTTAGGCAGATCCTTCTCTGGGCTTTTCCAACTGGGGCTGAGGTTAAAGGGACCTTTTGTGACCCAAGGGTGACCGGCCCTGACTCCCCTGAGTCCACAGGGTGTGAGTGAGCTGGTCTCGGACACCTTGGGCACCTCTGGACACACCAGCCAGGGAGCATCACCACGAGAAAGCGCAAAGCCACCTACATCTCCAGCAGCAGGACGCTGCACAGCACCCACCGCCTCCTTCCCTCTCTCTTGAGCATTTTTTAACATTCCTCAATCAGAGCCAGGGCTGCATTAAAAGACCAGCCACACCTGTGCATTGGGTTCGGCTCCTCTGCAGGCCCGTCTAACCCCTCCCAGCTGTGTAGGGGAGAGACAGGCTGGGTGGCTGAGAACTAGCCTAGCCCCTGAGCCCGGTGGGGCGAGGGGGGATGCCTGAGGGCCATGCCCTGCCTGGCCAGGGCATCTGGGGTCTCAGTGGCTGCATCAGCTGGCAGGAGACCCCCTGCTCCCACAGTTCTCCCTACAATAGGAGTTGGGGTCTTTTCATACAGGATTTTATAAAAGCTCTGAAATGGTATTTTTAAAAGACAGGCCTCAGTGGAACACTGAGGAGAGAGGCTTTGACAGGCCCTGGTCTCCAGGGTCCCTGGAGACCCCCACTCACAGAGTGCACCCCCTCCTGCCCAGCTGGGAGCGTGTGTGTTGGTGCTGAGAGGTTGTCAGGGGCAGCGAGCGGCCAGGGAGCGAGAGGAACTGACCGCCCCCCAGTTGCACCCACTGCTGACCTGTTCCAGTGGCTCAGGGCCCTGACCGAGACACAGAGGCAGCCATCCCAGCTGGGTGACACTGACCCCCAAACTGGGCGTTAAGCAGGCCCCAAAGGAGACCCCCAGAAATGAGAATTCCAACATCCCGAGGTGTTATCTCCTCCTTCGGTGTGTCTGCCCCCAAACCCAGACCTTCACCTCCAGAATAGGAGCCCTGGAGCCGGCAGGGCAGCCACATACTTGTCACCAAGCTGAGCACAGAGGGAGAGTCCAAAGACCATGAGTGGGTGGATGAGGGGGCAAGGGAATTGTAAATAAGTGAATGAGTGAGAGAATGAATGAATGCTGAACAAATGAGCACATGAATGAGTGGTTACACGAATAAATGAATGAATAGTTGGATGGGTGGGTGGATGGCTGAGTGAATGGGTGGATGGGTGGATGGAAGGAAGGAAGAAAAGTAACTGTTTTAGGCAGGATGGGGGCCCTGGTACCATCCAAGATGGAACCCTATTCCCTCGTCCTAGAGGCCTAGACACTGAGAAGTGTACCCCCAGTCAGGGTCCCCGCCCCAGCTTCCTGCAAGCCTTGCCCAGCTTATGGGGGCCAGTTCAAACCCAAGCCGCTCATCTCCCCCCAGACAAATGCACACCGAGTCCCAGCCATCCCCCTGCAGGCTGTCCCTGCCCCGGGGAAGCCCTCAGAGGGCACCCCGGCCAGCCTCCCCCCATAGAGGTACCCCGCCCAAGGCTGGCGATGGGGTGCGCCGTTTATGGGGCAGGGTGTTCTGAGACAGACCCTCGGGACCATTCCTTGGCTCAGGACAGGCCACCCTGGGAGGCAGCCCCCTGGTATCAGCAGTGGGCGTCCCCAGCACACCTGAGGGCCCTGAAGCCTGGTAATCAGGGGACACATGTGGCCACAGCCCCCAGGAGGGCCTGGGCCCCCCACAGCCACCCACGAGGTGACAGCCGAAGAAGGCATCTGGGGGGGCAGGCTGCAAGGCCATGTCCGTTCTCCTGGGAACAGCAAGGACGGGGTCCTGGAGGGACCCGGGGGAAGTGGCCAGGCCGGCCCACCCGCGGGCCACCAGGCAGCCCCCGCACCCCGGCAGCCCAGCGTCCAGGGAGCACGGCCTCAGGAGGCGGCCGTGGGGGCCACGCAGAGAAGGGGGAGGCCCGGCCCCAGGCTGGGGGTCTCCGGCCCAGGGGGGGCCCCGCAGCGCGGCCGGGGGGCCGCCGCGCGGGCGGAGAGCGCAGAGCTCGGCCCGAAGCCGGGTGTTCTCCTCCAGCAGGGCCGCCAGCCTGCGCCCCAGGGCCGCGTCGCCGAGCCGCCGCTTCTCCCGCGACCTCCGCGCCGCCGCGTTGTTCTCCCTCCGCTTCTGCCAGTAGGCGGCGTCCTTCCTCTCGGCGGGCACGAACTCCCGCTGCCGACGCCCAGCGGCGCCCCGGCCCCGCGCTGCCCGCAGGTCCTTCCCGGGGCCCTGAGGCTCCGCGGGCAGGCCCGGGAGACCCAGGTCCATGGAGCACCTGGCAACAGGGGGCAAGACTGCGCCAGGAGGCAGGAGGCCCCTGCGTCCCCACCGTCCCCAGTGGGCAGGACCGCGGGTGCAGGGGCCCCGGGCTGGAGGCCGGGGACTGGCACTGCCCCCCGGGGGGAGGGAGGCTCCTGCCTGCGTTCTTACCCCTGAGGAGGTCAGCAGACAGACCAAGGGCTCGGTTCAGCCTGCGCTCCGGGGAGAGGTGCTCGGACACCCGAAGGGAAGGTGCCTAGAAGGAAGGACGGGCGCCCTTGTGGTTCAGCGAGGCCAAGCCATTGCCCGTCTGAACTGTGACCACCTGTCCATAAGCGGGACCAGGATCTGAAGCCAGTTTGTCGGACGTGCGGGTCCGTTCCGCCACCCCCGGGGCCCACTCGCGGCTCGGAGGTGCTGCTGTGTCTAGCGAGCCCGGCTGGGCGTGTGGCGGGAAAGCCTTGTGGGGCGCTGCAGTCACCTAAGTCAGCAAGGAATCCAAATTCCCGGAGAGACTCCAGGGCCCGGGCCCCCCGCGGGGAACTGCTGGTCCCTGGGGGTCTTCCGTCCTGAGGTGCCCCACATCCACAGGCTGGGGCAGCATGCAGGTGGTGCGCCCGGGTCCGCAGAGGCCAGGTGGGGAGCCCTAGGTTTGCACCCGTCTGCTGGTGCCGTCTGGGCGTTGTGTGGGCAGCCCGATGAACTCACAGGCCCCTGCGGCAGGGCTCAAGTTCACTGCCCCCTGTGGGACACCTGAGGCCACCATATCCTCGGGAGTGCGATGGCCCTGCCTACAGAGGAGCGTGAGTGGCTGGCCCAGGGATGCCCGGAGATACCCCAAGTAATCTCCCCCACCCCCACCCCACCCCCGCATCCTGTCCTCCCAGTGTGGCCAGCGCCACCACTGACTGGCCCAGAGCCGATGATTGACACTCCTGGCGTCCTCCCCTGGTACTCTCCTCACACCCCCCCTCCTCTCCTCACGCCCCCCTCCCCAGGAACCCCCTCCACACTTGCACGGACCCCTGCCCACCTCCCCTCAACCCTGACCCCAAGCCTAGGATCTCCGGCCCACCTGGGCCCCAACAAGCCTCCTTCCCAGTCCCCCCAAATCCACCACCAGTCCAGAGGAGTAGTCCTCAAAAATCCCATTTATCCAGAGCTTAAAAACCTCTGGGGAGGGCTTATGAAAGTGTGAGCATCTTAGACTCCTGCTAACAGGGCTGGCGCCTCCCCAGATCCCCTCTGTCGTGGATGTTCTTAGGAATGAACCAACGAGCGCGTGCGTGTTTGGGAGACGAACCGACAAATGTGTGAGTATTTGAAAAAATCAAAGCACGAGTGAAATGTGAGTGAATGAATGAATAAGCAGATGAAGTAAGGCTTCAGAGGTGGGGGCCCTGAGAGGAGGGCACAGAAAGCCCTAAGGGGTCCTTTCTCCCCCATAAAGGGCTGGGCCTGGGTCTCCCACTGCCCAGATAGCTCTTCACCCCACTGGGGACAAGAGAACAGGCTCCCTGCTAAGGTCCTTTGCCCTGGTGGCCGGAGCCTCCTTCTGCTGCCCACCTGGGCCCGTCCTGGGGCCTCAGACAGGGTGCTGACCCCATTCCAGCTTCAAGGGTGCTCACAGGAGCCCGAGAGCTGCTCGGCACACAGGTCAATGGCACATTCTAAGACCCTGAAGCCAGAGTCCAGAAGGCACTACCCTGGCTCTGGGGGAGACGGATGGGGGGTGGCAGGCAAGCCGGGAGATGGCTGGGCCAGGGGCAGCTGGGCTGGGAAGGGAGGGGACACAGTCCAGGCGTCCCAGAAGGGCCCGTCTAAACCAGGAATGCCTAACGTAGAAGCTGAGTGAAGGCTGGTAGTTGGACAGAGGAGGGGCAGGCGGCTCTCAAGCCAAGCCGGTGAGCTACACGAGGGCTAGCATCCCTGTGAGGCCCCCTGCCTGTGTGTGGCTTGGTCTGGGTCCCCCCTAAACACCAGCTCCCACACCTCCACAGGAACCCAACGGGAGATGGGGCCGCAGATAGTTCAGCCGCCTGACTTTATTTAGAGAAGAGGCAGCCAGGGCTGGGCCGGGGCCTTCCTGTGGTCGCAGAGGGAAGCGCTAGGGAGGGTGGGGACGTGGCGAGCCAGCGTGAGCGCCTGCGGTGGGGATGAGGGAACCGGACTAGGGTCTCCCTCAGAGATGGCCCAGACCAACCCCTCCCGAGCCCCATCGGTCTCTGCAGCCCCCTGACCGGCGACAATCAAAGCTCCTCTTGGTTGCCCTGAGTGATGGGGAGCTCATTCACTCCAAAGTCAACTGCTGTCAGCCTGGGTGAGCGCTCCTGGGATGGAGCTAAAACCCACCTTCACTGGGCCTTTGTCTGATAAAATTCTTTCTCTCTGTGTGCCCCTGGAGACCTTGTCCTCCCCCTAGAGGATTGATGGATTGGCAGTCACATTCCGCCACCCCTCATCTGGTCCACTTCCCTCCAAGGAACGCAGTCATGTTTAGTGCGTATCTACTAGGCCGGGCACGAGCAATGTCTCCCTTTGCGCTCACGGCCACTCAGAGAGAAAAGTTCCATCATTATCCTCATTCAACAGATGAAAAGACAGAGGGTCCGAGAGGGCTTGTGACCTTCCTGGGTCAACCCAGCCAGAATCCAGCAGGCTCCGGAGCCCCCACCTTTCCCAACACACCAGGTTCAACCTTCCCGGCTTTTCCCGATTCTTCCGCAGAGGATACAGTTCTGAGTCCATGTGCACCTTTGAAGGGTAGAGCTTGGTGTCCACAGAGGGAAAAATTCCTGAAAACACAGAGCTAATGAGGGGGCAGGGCTGGGGTGACGCGATGAATGGACAGAGGTAAGAGCTGAAGCCATTTTAACTGGGTTCAAATTCTCCTTCCTAGCCAGGCGTGTTTGGGCAAGTCACGTGACCTCTACAAGCATCCACTGTCTCATCTAAAATGAGGATAATAGCCATACTCAGTTTATTGGTTATGTAAAGAGTAAATGAGATCACCCTGAGAGCTGGTACGTAATAATAGCAAGTGACCCACACGGCTACTCTCTGGCGGCAGTGGTGGTGTTAGACCCTCTCCTGCTTGGCTTCTGCTGCCCGGCTCGTGCGGTTATGTGTGTTGAAAATACCTATGAGAACCCTCAGAGACCAAGCAACACAACTGTATCAGTTGACAGATGATGAAATTGGACTTCCTTGCAAGACCATGGATCAAATACACCCTGAGACCCGTCCATTCCTCCACAAACACAAAAATGACAGGAACTACAGATCAAAGAAGAAGTGCCCAGTGACAAGGGTGCCCCATCCACACGAGGGCAGGTCTCCCGAACGTAGGAGGTCAAGAGCACAGACTGTCGGGAGACTGACCAGGAAATAATCTCCCGAAGAGATAGTCATACCCACTTCGTGACCTGGAACAATTTACATCAGAGGAAATCGAGATTATTGATGCCATCTTCAAAGAGTTTTAGGGTGAACAGAATGAGTGATTCAAAAAGATAAAGGATGGAGTAATGGTCATAAAACAAGAACAGAAGGTATGAAGCAAAAAACAGATTCCTCGCCTGTAAAACGGGTTTTGCGGGGGTCCTGGCCACACGCAGACATTTTGACAATTCAATAGTAAGTCGCGTGCACAAGGCACCTGGTGTATCTGGGTGGACCCCAAGGAACACCTTCTTGGTAATCAGTAACCCTTTTCTTTGAGCCCAAAAATGCCTACAGGAGAACAAAGCTACAGTCACCTGGGGACTCAGCCACCAACAGAGGAGAAAACAATTTAAAATTGTTAAAGGACAAAAAAAAAAAGTGGGAAAAAAAATGAATCAAAGGAGAAAAGGTAGGCTGCCTCACAAATTCCCCACCCACGTGGCCGGAGGGCAGCCCACAAGCTTTCCCTTCGCTCCGGGCTGAGGGGAGCCAGAAATGACCATAGACTCTCCGGTGGGTGTAAGACTTACAAGCAAGAGGTGGCATTTGTGTGGCCAACACACTTCTGGAAAAACTGTTCACCCCCATCCCTTACAACAGAAATGCTCCTTTGTTTTCATTGACACAATGAGATACCAGTTTTTTCCTGGCTCAAATTGGCAAAGATTTAAAAATGATAAAATCTCATGCTAGCAAGGATGTGGTGAGATGGGCACTCATGTACCTGGAAAGTGGAGGTGTGAATTGCTTCCTGGGAAAGCAGTCAGGGGATGTGAAACGATGTTGGAACCCATGCCCTGTTTGAGGAATAATGGTGTCCCTTCCCTCCCACCTGGATCACGGCTCCTGGCATCTCTCTATTCTGGCCTCAGCAGCCCTGAAATCCCCCCTCAGACACACCATTCCAGCCACTCAGAACCTCTTTTATTTCCTGAACAGTTATTCTGTCCCCTCCACATGCTTCTCCTTTTACCTAAAACATTCTTCCTCTTTCCTTACCTGTTCCCCAGCCAAATCTTACTCATCCTGAAGGACTTAGCTTTAGATGTTTCTTGCAACCTCCTACAGGAAGCCCATCAGATTGACCCCTCTCAACTAGGCCAGGAGCTTCTTCTGGAAAAGATTTCCACCATCACTATGACCACAGATCTCTGATAAATATAGGGGGAATGAATACTTAGCAAAGGGGGTGTGCTCTGTGTGGTCCCAGAGGGCTGAGCAGCTTGGGGCCAGTAGCTGAAAGAATGTTCTACAAAGTACAACTCACTAATAACCCAGCAAAGGTTCCTTGAAAGGTAATGAGTTCCCTGTCACAGGTGGTATGCAAGCAGGGGAGTAGGAAACTACTTCTGTTGTTCCTTCCCTCTAGCTTCTTTGCCCCTCTCTGCCCAGAGTCGTGGATCTGAGATGAAGAGTGGCCCTCCTCTGACTCAGAAGGACCCGGGGCCGCAGAGGCTGTTCCCACAGGCCCTAGTACAGCCCAGCCCTTCCTCAGAAAGGGCGTGGAGTCCCAGGACACTACACTCTCACGGGTTCAGGGAACCCGGTGCAGCCTGCGGACCCTGTGCTCTCACTGTGAGCAAACCCTTGCCTCATGAAAGCCTCCGGTGAAACCAACTTCTAAAACTGAGAACCCTCTGAAAGATCTCAGATTTCAAGGGGAAAATGCAAGGCATTCTGGGAGTGCAGAGGGCCTTCCGCTGCCCTTGGACCCCTCCTGGGGCCCATGGAGAGGCCGGAAGCCCTTGGTACCTCTGTGCCCAACCCCCAAGGCCAGCGAGAGTCCCCAGGGCCAGGAGCAGGCTGATGGGTGGGAAGGGCCCAGCAGGGGGTGGGGGTGATGCGGGCGGGGTGCCCAGAGCCACCCAGCCCTGCTGCACCGATGGCACATCGCATGACCGTAGACAAGCGCCAGCTGGTCTCTGAGACTCGGTCTTTTCAACAGCCAAATGGGTTCAAGAGCAACGCCTGGGCTGGTAAGCAACCCAGGCACAAGCTTAGTCCCCAAACGTAGTCAGTGTCCCATTCCTGAACAACCACCATGAGCTTCCAGGAGGGCCCAGGGCATCAAGGGTCTGATCGTGGCAGGGTCATGTCACACCACGTCTTACCTCCTGAAACTCACACGGAACAAAATCATCTCAGGGACCTTAAGCCCTCGGCCCCTGCAGACAGGTCTGCCTCTCCCCAGCCCAACCCAGAACCTCCAAAACAACAGGAGACCAGCTCAGCGGTGCCCAGGCGGCTGCCTGGCGGGAGCTTGAAGCCCGGAGGTGGGCACACACCCCGTGGTCATTTTCTCTCCTCCTTGTCCATATTTGGATTTATTCACACACCACTCCCATACTTTTTAGCTACAAACTAACTCATTCGCCTCTTGTCTGTCTCCGCCACTAGAACCCCAGCCTGTGGACAGGGTCTGCTCCTTCTATGTCCCCAGGGCTTAAAACAGCACCTGGCACCCAGTGGGTGCTTCCTAACTCTTTGTTGAGTGAAGGAATGTGAACAATGTTAGTCCCATAACTTCCCAGGAGACAGGGTCTGTACTTTTTTGCCACAGAAGCTCAGAGAGGTACAATGTCTTGTCCAAGGTCACACAGCCCTTCACAGGTGGGTCTGGCACCTGGACAGCTGGACCCCAGAGCCGCCTACCTCAAGCCCTGAGATAGAACTGGAGGCGCAGCAGGGCCTGAAGGCTCTTAGCTCAGCACTCGGTGACCATGTGGAGCCCTGGGCCTCAGTCTCCCTTCTGTGACATGGGCCCAGGAGCCCTGCCCAACTCCCAGGGGTGGCTGTCCCTCTGCCATTTTCAGAACTGCACTCCAAACAGGGGCACCCCACATTCCCAGCCCCCACCCCAAGCCCAGGATACGCCGTGGATCCCAGAGATGGGCCAGAGCTGTGCCCCAGGGGGTCCTGGGGGCAGGAACTGGGCCTGTGGCATCTCTGGATCCCAGAAGTACCCACTGGTGTCATCCAAGCCCTTTCCGGGTACCCGCCCTTTACAGGGCTGAGCATTTTACAAACACAATCTGCCGGAGGGATCTTTCCACCTCACAAATCAGATTGTGCCACTTTCCAGCTTAAAACCCTACACAGATCAACACCACACTCCCTTGCCCCACCCACGGGGCCCCGCACAGTCTGGATGGAGCCTGTCCCCTCTGTGCTCCAAGCACCCTGGCCATCCAACAGCCCAGATGCTGTGGGGCCTCTGCCCATGCGGCCCTGCTGCCTGGATGCTCCTCCTCCCTTCCCCTAGTTTCCATGTTCCCATCCTTTGATTGCCACTCCTCCTCCAAGAAGCCCTCCCTGACCTCCCAGGACAGACCGGTGCCTCCCCTGTGCACTTGCTGAACACCGTGTGCTTCTGCCACGTAGCACTTACTATCGACGTACCTTCGCCTATTCACTAGTAATTAATTGACTAAACTCTCTTTCTCCCGTGAGGGCCGGGCCTGTGTTTCTTCTCCCCAGCAGCTCCCCACCCCAGGGCCAAGCACAGGGTAGGTGATTGATAAATACTTGAACGCATGAGTGAGACGCCCACCCTCCAGTTTCAAGGCAGTGGCTCTGAACCCAGGGGGTGTCTGTCAATGTCTGGAGACATATGTTTGTCATGACGAGCAGAGGGCATGGAGTGGGTGGGGACCAGGTGTGCGGTGCGGCTCCCTAGAACGCCCAGGACAGAGGATTATCCATTCCCAGCAGTCAGTGGCGTGCAATGGGGAAGCCCTGCATTTCAGAGAAGTGCCCACCTCCTGGCCTGACTTACAAAGACCAGGTAGGCCTGGGCCCAGGGACTCCTGGATCAGACATGGTGGTAGCAGCGGTACCAGCAGATCCCCGGGATAGATCTCACTCAGCTGTCACTGTTACAATTGTTAAAAAGGAATGAAAGCACCACCAGAAGACACTATTTACAGAAGAGTAGAAAGGCAGCCCACAAAACAGGAGAAGGTATTTGCCAGTCAGAGATCTGATAAGCGGTTAACATCGGAACATATAAAGATCTACGAGTCAACCAGAAACAAAAATGGGCAAAGGCTTGAATAGTCATTTCTCCCAATTAGGTAGAAAAATGGCCACATGAAAAGATGCTCAACCCATCCTGAGGGAAATACCAGTGAAAACCACAAGGAAACATCACCTCCCAGCCCCTAGGAAGGCTGCTATCAAAAGGGCAGAAAACACCCAAACGTTGGCAAGGATGTGGAGAAATGGGAACTCATGTGCACTGTTGGGGGGAATGGAAAATGGAGCAGCCACTGCAGAAAGCAGTCTGAGGCTCTGCAAAAAAACTGAATGTGAATTACCCTATGACCCAGCAACTCGACTTCTAGGTATCTACCCCAAAGAACTCCAGGCAGGATCTCGAAGAGATACTCGCACACCCATGTTCACGGCAGCCCGATTCATGACAGCTAAAATGCAGAAGCCGCTTAAGTGTCCATCAACTGGTGAATAGATACACACAACGTGGCCTATCCACACCTGGAATATTACTCAGCTGTGAAAAGGAAGGACACCCTGACACCTGCTACAGTGTGGGTGGACCTCGAGGACACAGTGCTCAGGGACATAAGCCAGACCCAAAGGACAGACCCTGTCTGATCCCCCTCCCAGGAGGTCCCCAGAGGAGCCCCATCCACAGAGACAGAGAGTGGGTGGTGGGGCCGGAGGCTGGGGAGGCGGTGGGGGGTTAGTGTCTCAGGGAATGGAGTTTCAGTTTGGGGAGATGGAAATTTCTGGAAATGGAAGGTGAGGACGGCTGCACAGCATTACGGTTTATTTGATGCCACTGAATTGTACATTTAGATTGTTAAGATGCAAATTTTATGATATGTGTATTTTACCACAATAAAAAATAGGGGGGACACAAAGTGGTGAACCATGGAGCTGGCAGCCTCACTGGGAGCATGGCTAGTGTGTCTGCAGACCCCCACTTGCATCCAGTCCCACTGGCTCCCACCTCACTCAGGGTCAAAGCCAAAGTCCTCCCACAGTCCACCACACACTGCACCATCCGCCTGTCCCCTCCCTGCCCTCCCACCTCCCTCTCCCCGTTGCTCACTCTGCTCCAGCCGCACGGGTCTCCTTCTTGTTCCTCCCACACGCCAGGTCCAGTCCTGCCCCAGGACCTTTGCACAGCTGTGCCCTCTGCCTGAAACCCTCATCCATTCCAATACTTGCATGGCTGGTCCCCTCTTTCAATGCCCATAACCCTCTCTGTTCACCCAGGACAGAGTCCCTAAACCCCCACCCCCTGTCCCAAGCCCCTGCATCTCAGACTGGAAGTTTGGGGAACAGGCCTGGCCCCAGCAGGGAGTGGCCTCTGAGACACAAACACCCCACCTGTTTGTTCCAAGTGAACCAGGGATTTCCACCCTGCAGAGAGACAGAAAGGAGAGCAAGAGAGAGAGAAAGAAACAGAAAACGCAGGACAGGTGGAGAGGGAACCAGAGGTGGAGGCAGGCAGAAGGAGGAAGAGCCAATCGCCACCCACCCACCAAGGCAGCATCTCACACGAGACGCCAGCCAACAGTCTGAGGTCCGGGTCACCATCGGCAGCAAGTGCTCGTGTCCGTCCTCAGCCACTGGACGCTCAGAGCAGTTGTGCCAAACTCCAACGACCCCAGATCTTTACAAGTGGATCCCCACAGTAGTCAGACCCCACAACGCTCGGACCCCAAGCACAAATGTCTGGGGGTCTGTACGGCAGCTGGGCCCCCCTAGAGCGCAGTCGGGCTCCCCAGGGACAAATCCAGCCGTCCCGGACAGCCAGACCTCTAGCCACACAACAGGAGACCCTCCCTGTCCCTCTGAGCCATCTTCTAAGACCTCGAGCCCCGCCCGCACCCCTGCCACCCACTAGGACCGAAGCCATTGGATCCTTTCCCGACTTTGCGTGGACCCTCTCTGCTTTTCATTCCATCAGTGCTGACACGCGACAGCTGGCTGGACATCAGCCTTCCACAGCTGCCCCGTGTGGGCAACAGGGCCTGGATGGGGGGCTCCCACCCCCAGACAGAGCAGAGAGAGACCAGAGGAGGTCAGGAGCCTGGCGACAACACGGGGCAAGGAGAGAAGCAGGAAGGTGGGCTGCCGAGGGAAGGTGGCTGCTGTAGGAGGGCCCCCCCAAAACGGATGACAGCATCGGACTCTGAGGCTTCAGCCCCTCAGGGCCTGGCCCTGGACCCCCTCCCCAGCCAGCCCTCCTGGCCTCTTTCCCAGGCACGCCCCCTCCCATGTTCCTGCCTCATCCCAGAGGTGACAGAGGTGGGGACGCACACAGCGGGGGAGAGCCCCGCAGAGCAGCCCAAAGAGAGCCAGAGACCCAGAAGGGGACAGTAAGACCGAAGGCACAGAGAGGGACACAGAGAGGAGGGGGAGGACTCGGACGGAGACAACGAGAAGGAAGGGACCCTGTCCAGAGGGGCAGAGAGAGGAGCTGAGAGGGGCGGAGAGGCCCCGGCCCCCTGGACGCTGGCCGCCCCGGCCAGCCTCTGCTGCACTCGGGCCTCACCTCCCAGGCGGCTGCTCCCCCGGCGTGGGTCCTGTGTGGGCCGCAGCAGCTGCGTGAGGCCTCCAAAGCCCTCCGCGGTGCAGGGAGTCACCGGCGCTTCCGTAGAGGTGACACCCCAGCCCCCAGCCAGTAGCTCGTGGCTTTCCCTGCTGCGCTGGCCGCCCACCTGGCGTCTGCCCAGAGAGCAGGTGCTGCAGGCTGGCTCAGACTCGGGGGGAGGGGCACTGGGGAGTCACCAGCCCCACCAGGAGGGGGTCCTGCTGGTCTAGCCCCTGGGGGCCCAAGAAGGGGAGGGGGTCTAAGCTGGCCAAAGCTAGAATCTCTCATTCTAACTCCCTAAGATCCTTCTAGAAACATCAGAGGGGGCCCAAGCGAGGAGGCCACTTCTGTCCTTACATGTGAGGACACCCTCCTTCTCAAACACCTTCTGTGGCTCCCCAGTGCCTCTCAGATTTTCTAACCACTTGCCCTGGACATACCCTCTCTCAGAGGAAACCCACACAGACAGTTAAGTAACTTGCCCCCAGGAGAAAGTGAAGCCAAATCTTGAACTTCAGGATGAGATCTCTAGGTGGGCATCACTAAACGGGCATGGAAGGTATTCCAAGCAGAGGGAACAGCACATACGAAGGCTCAGAGGTAAGGATCAGCATGGATATGTCTGGGGATCCCTGGAAGGAGGTGGAGGGACAGTCAGAGCTGCTTGTAGGGAAGACCCCACGCGTGGACCCCAGGGTGAACAGACAGCAGGGGCAGGATGGGGGCCTGGAGGCGGGGACCAGCCTGAGGCCACGTCCTGTGCTGGGAACCCCAGACCCCGGGCCGGGGCGGATTTGAGGGATTCCGAGGAGGCCTGGACTTGGGAACAGCGGCACCTGGTGTGCGCGCCGCGGAACTGCACCCTCCTACGTGGGTTCGCTCAATGGGCGCGTTCCCGGTGTGTTCACCACCTGTGAAATAAATCCATCTTCATCAAGAACCATGCAATGAAACAAATAAGAGCGGCCGTAGAAGAAATACAGGCGGCGCAAATTTGATAAATGCTGATATAATAATCTTCTAAGGAGAAATCGTCCAGGAACTAAGTGAATTTTAACAAAACTGAAATATCAGCAAACAGCCACTAAGTCGTACCACTGATGCGCCCTTATATTCATTTTTTTTATTAAGGTACAATTGATATGCACTCTTACGAAGGTTTCACAAGAAAAACAATGTGGTTATTACATTTCCGCTTATTATCGAGTCCCCCCCACACCCCATTGCAGTCACTGCCCATCAGTGTAGTGAGATGCCACAGAGTCACTATTTGCCTTCTCTGTGCTACACTGTCTTCCCCATGAGCCCCCCACACCATGTGCACCAATCATGATACCCCTCAATCCCCATCTCCCTCCCTCCCCACCTGCCCTCCCATACTCCTCCCCTTTGGTAACCGCCAGTCCCTTCTCGGAGTCTGTGAGTCTGCTGCTGTTTTGTTCCTTCAGTTTTGCTTCCATTGTTATACTCCACAGATGAGGGAAATCATTTGGTACTTGCCTTTCTCCACCTGGTTTATTTCACTGAGCATAATGTCCTCCAGCTCCATCCACATTGTTGCAAATGGTAGGATGTTTCTGTCTTATGCTGAATAGTATTCCATCGTGTATATGCACCACATCTTCTTCATCCATTCATCTACTGATGGACACTTAGGTTGCTTCCATTTCTTGGCTATTGTAAAATAGTGCTGCGATAAACATAGGGGTGGATATGTCTTTTTGAATCTGAGAAGTTTTCTTCTGCTAAATTCCTAGGAGGGGAATTCCCAGGTCAAATGGTATTTCTATTTTTATTTTTTTGAGGAAACTCCATACTGTTTTCCACAATGGTTGAACTAGTTTACATTCCCCCCAGCAGTGTAGGAGGGCTCCCCTTTCTCCACAGCCTCATCAGCATTTGTTGTTCCTTGTCTTTTGGATGGTGGCCATCCTAACTGGTGTGATGTGATGTCTCATTGTGGTTTCAATTTGAATTTCCCTGATAATTGGCGATGCGGAGCATCTTTTCATGTGCCCGTTGATCATCTGAATTTCTTCTTTGGAGAACTGTCTGTTCATATCCTCCACACATTTTTTAATTGTGTTATTTACTTTTTGAGTGTTGAGGCGTGTGAGTTCTTTATATATTTTGGATGTTAACCCCTTGTTGGATATGTCATTTACAAATATATTCTCCCCTACTGTGGGATGCCTTTTTGTTCTGCTGTGTAGCCTTATATTTTTTATTCATTCTTTAGTGTTAAAGCAAGGAACAGTTTAAAAAGAATACGTTTTGTGCCTTTAAATATGACTTACATTTTATTCATCAATCATACTGCAAGAAAGCTGAAGGCATAAAAGAAAAAGAAAAAGCTTCCATTTTAAAGATAGTATTCAAATTCAGCACTATAGTTGATGTATGAATATTATTTACACTTGTCAATAGAAGAAAACATTGTATCTCATGGCTTGCAACATTTGCTATTTTAATAAACACAAAATCATCAGATGGTCACAGAAAAGTATCTAATAATGATAATAATATACCAGATACATAATATATAATATTATATGCTATATAATTATTATCATTTATATAATATACATATTAATTTAATATACATCATAATAGTTATTATATATAACATATAATATAATGATGGTAATAACTATCATTATTTGCTGCCTGAATGACTATCAAGTGTCTAACTGTTCTAATCACTTTAACATAATAGCCTCCTTTATTTCTCAAACCTGTGAGACAGATATGATTTCAGCCCATTTTACAGATAATGGAACTGAGGCAGAGAGGTCAGGTAATGACCCAAGGTCACACAGCAAGGAAGGGATGGAATGGAATTTGAACCCAGGCCAACTGCCTGCAGGGCTTGTGTTCATGAATTCTGGGCTCTATTGACCTAGACTGGGTCAGGGTGAGGGTGGATGGGGCCCCTTTTCCTAAAGACATGGCTTGGTTAACCAGAAGTAGAGGAAGGGCATTTTAGGCAGAGGGAATAGCAAGGCAAAGGCCCTGAGGCAGGAATAAGTTTGGTGATTTGGAGGAACTGAGAGGAGGCCCGTAGGCCTGGAGCTGAGTGAGGCAGGGATGCAGTGGGAGCTGGGAGTGGGGCCCGCATCATGCAGGGCCCCAGGGACCCACTAAAGGGGTTCCGGGTAGTGAAGGAGTGACTCTAACATCCTCTCTCCTGTTGTAATCCCCTGGCACCCCTAGAATCAGTCAGGGCTCCTTGGGTGTAAGCAACAGAAACAGGAGGTGAGATCTCACGTAGGAAGAGGGGTCCAGGCCTCCTGGCTCTGCCCACCCCAGCTATGCGGCCTTGGGGAAGTTGCTTAACCTGTCTATGCATCAGTTTTCTCATCTGTACAATGGGAGAGTAATAGTACCTATATCTGAGGGTGGTTGGGAAAATTAAATAGGTCAATACATGTCAAGGGGTTAGAACAAGGGTCTGGCAAGCAGTAAGGGCTACATAATGTCATGTAGTATTATCTTCATCATCACAATAAATATGGGCTCACATAACTGAAAGTAGACAGCTTCAGGTAAGGTTTGATCCAGGGGCTCAAATGCCCTCACCAAGGTGCCTTCCCTCTGCCGTCACATATGCCTGCACTTGATGTGCTGGCTCCACACAGCATCTACAGCCCCAGCCCCAACCCTGTGGTCCACGAACAAGCCTTGCTGTTTCTCCCACCTCAACCACACTGACTAGGGCCAGACTGGGAGTCTCTTCCAGTTGCCCTAAAGAAAGGAAAGAAATAAAAAACAAGCGTGCTTCCCCAGAATCCTCGGTAAGTTTTCTTACCGCTCCTTGGCTCTGAGCGTGTTATATGTCCACTCCTGAGCGAATCGCTGTGGCCAGAAAGAGGATGTAGTGGCTGGGGGCTGGGTGTGCAGCCAATCCCAGGCGAGGATGGGGGAGAGCATGGCCAGAAAAGACATGCAGGGGAGCAGGGTCCTAGCTCCAGGGCACCTGGGCTGAGAGGTTCTGAGAGAGTCGCCCTCCTTGCCTCAGTTTCCCCCCACATGCCACATCAAGTTGGTTTCAGAGCAGAGAAGTGGGGAAACCGGTCTCCCGAGCATCACTTTCAGGATTTCCTTTCATGGGCGCCCTTGATGACTTCCCTGCTGTCCCCAGGCTCCCTCCGCCTCCCCCTGCCCCGGGAGGGATGAGGCAGTTCCTGCAGGAGAGCAGCTGAGTTCATTCCCGCCGCGCGCGGGACTTGCTGCCTGGGGACTGTCGGGTTCTTCTTCCGCCAGTGGCCAGAGGGAGGGGGCTTCCTCAGCTTTGGAGGGGCCCCGGGATCCTAGCCTGAGGCCGAGAGGACCCATCCTCCACGGGCGCCCCCCAGCCGGACTGGGTGGCGGCGGGGACGTGAAGGCTGGTGCCCACCCGCCAGCCAGGCTGCAGTGCGCCGTCATTCAGCCCAGCACGGTGCTTGGCCCAAGCGTCGCTGGAAAGGCTCTTGGCAGATGTGGGCCGCACCGTGAGCCAGTTGCTGTGGAGTAAAGCGGCCACACCGTGAGTGGGCCTCGTCCAGTCCATCGGAGGCCTCAAGAGCAAAACCGACGGTTGCCCGGAGAAGAAGGAATTCTCCTCCGGACCTCTTCTTCCAAGTCTTCTCCCCAGAAAGGCCTCCTCTGGCCCCGTGGGTGAAGGAACCATGCACACCCCCTCTCCTTCTCCTCTGGCTTTGCATGAATTCAGGGACTTACCGCATACCTCCCACCTCCTTCCTTACTGACCTCCCTGACTGCCATCAGCACCCCGGCCCTGGAGGTCAGCGGCAGCTCCCCTCCGTGTCCCTAGTGTCTAGAGCACAGCCAGCCGCCTGCGGTCGGATCCCAACCCCACCCCTGCCCAGCTGGTGGGACCCAGCAAGTTACCTGCCCCCCTGGGGCCTCAAGTTCCTCATCTGTAAAGTGAAGACAGCCTTCACAGTCAATGAGTGCACAGTGGGGGGGCTTGGAAAGCAGCTGGCACCCCGTAGGTGTTCAATCTGTGCATGTCTGTGCCAGGTACCCTTGCCTGTGTGCCAGCATTTGCCCGCACAGCTGTATGCCCACCTGAAGGCGTGGTGTGCATACAGAGGCAAAGCAAGTCAACACAAGCTTGGCCTGGCCCCCATCCCTTCCCCCCAGACCCTGGGCCCAGGAACCACACCCCACTTCCACCAGCTCACCTGGTTCAGGGGCGGCTCTTCCATCGGAGTTGAGGGTATCCATCCATCTCTGAAGCCGAAAGTCATGGGGTCTGGAGGGTCCCAGCTGGGGGCCCCCTGTGGCTTTTATGCGACTCCCATTCTTTTGAGGACTCCACGGAGATGGTGCTGGGAGGGGACCCCCTTCGGCTGCAGAGCAGACCCCCACCATGCCCTCCCAGCTCCATCACTGAGCCCACACCTTTGAGATGCCCACCCCACCCATAGGACCACCGTGGATGGCGGGGCTGGGAGTATGAGAGGGGCGGTGACAGGTGGGGGCCAGGGCCCTTCCCCAGCCCCCCTGCTCCCCAGTCACCTGGCACTGGGCAGGCTCCTACCCTCTCGGGGCAGGGGACCCAGGGCAGGAGCTCCTCTCTACCAGCACGAGGACCCTCACCCCCTGTGCCCCCAGCACAGGGCAGACAAGGCAACATGAAGCTCAGCCCCTCGGGACCACAGTGTGGCCACCTGCTCCTGGCTGGTGAAGCGTCCCCACAGAGCAGGGACAGAGCATGCACGTCCTGCTCTCTCTGGGGCCTCAGTCTGGGGGGTGGGGTAACCACCACAGTCACCTGGACCCCTCCTGTGGTGCCCCCGCTCTGGGCCTCAGTTTCCCAAGTATACCCGTGGGCTCTGCACACCGAAGCTTTGTGGAGAAGCAGCAGAGACTGGCGAAGGCAGGGCAGGCCTCACCCAACCTCCAGACCTCTGGGAAAACCCTCATGTGCCCATGGCGGCCACTTACCATCCACGTGGACCCTCAGCCACTCACAGAGGGACCTACCACCTTCAACAGGTGGCTGTGAAACCACTGTCCTGGGGAAAGGGAGATATTACTTTCCTGTGACTGCCATGACAAGTCCCTACACACCTGGCAGCCTAAACAACCCAAATGTACAGCCTCCAGGCCTGGAGCTCAGAAGCCCCATGCAGGGCTCACCTGTGTGGCTGGAAGGCATCTTTCTGGAGCTCCTTTCTGGAGGGTCCGGGGAAAGATTCATTTCCTGGCTCACTAGAGTTGCTGGCAGATTTCAGTTCTTCTCAGTCATAGGACTGAGGTCCCCGTTTCCTGTCTGGTTCTCAACTGAGGGCCATCCCCAGCTTCTAGGGGCACCCACATTCCTTAGCTCGAGAACTCTTCCTCATCTCCAAAGCCCAGGGCAGCAGGTCAAGTCCCTAGCACCTCTCGCCGCCCTGCTGCTTGCCCCAGCCTGCAGATGCGTGCATGAAGCCCTCCCAGACGGCTGAGCCCCAGCCGAGCCACCGGCTAACTGCAGTCCTGGGAGTGGCCCTAAGCAAGGCCAGCAAAAAAGAAAACCACCCAGCTAAACTCAGCCCCAATTCCAACCCACAGAATCAAGAGCTAATAAGTGACCATTGTTTGAAGCCAGCACATTTTAGCGTAGTTTGTTACACAGCAAAGGCAAACAGCTACAATGTCCAAACACACTGTCTTGGGAAGAAGACACACGGTGCTCAGACACAAGCAGCCACTATGCCCTGGCAGTAACCACACAGACTGAGACGCCTGCCTGGGCAGCGCATGTGTCAGGGCCACTCATTTCATTTTATTCACCACAGAACCACTAGGTGGCGGGATTCTTTGGTTCAATCTTCCAATTAAGCTAGAAATTTGCAAGCTAAGGAATCAGCTTGTCTCACTTTTTCATAAATACAACAACTATTATTTTTATCTCAGTTTTGCAGATGAGGAAACTGAGGCATGGGGCAATTACCGCTCTTGCTGGCAAGGGATGGAACCGAGGTCTGCATCCAGTTCTACAGTTATTGTTACATTGGACTGACGCCCAACTGTGTCACAGATTCTCTGTGGAACCCTGAGCAAGTCTCCTGCGACCGCTTCCTCTCGGGTAAAACGAGAGAGCCAACCTACAATCAGAGATTCTTAACCTGGACTGGGCAACCATGACACCACAGAACTATCTAAAATATCATGCGGGTTAATCTATTTGGGGGCGTGGGTCAGAAGTGGTCTCTAGATTCAGTTAGATCCCCAAATGAGTCTGTGATTCAGAAACGGTTAAGGAACACTGGACAATATGCTCTTCAAAGTCCATTCCCAGGGTCAGGTTACTAGTCAAGCCGACACCCAGTGGTACAGTGAGTTACACAGAGACCAGGCGAGACTTACAGAGAACAGACTTAGGCACAGTTTGGTCCTTGTCACAGAAGTGCTGAACTGCGGTCAAGGTCAGCACGACCCCGTTCTCCATTCCAGGCTTGAGTGGCATGCATGTTTCCAACAAGCCCTGCCCAGGGAGGTTCTTACCACCCCTGTCCGGTGCAAGGCTTGATTGCAACAGCTTTGAACTCTGAGCTCTGACTAGCCACACCCCCAAAAAAACATTGGTGATTATTACAGGGGCTGCCAGAAGAATCCACAGCAGATTTTATCCGAAGCGGGTCTTGCCTGATTTCCCAGGAGTCGGCCTCTTGGTAAGACTGAGCTGCTGCTCTGTCCGAGCCGCTCAGTCCGTCCTCCGGCTCTGTGCCAGCTCCTCTCTCCCCCTGCCTCGGCTTCCCGCAGCCAATACTGGGGTGCCCCTACCTGCCTCCAAGTCTTCAAGAGCCCCGGAAGCTGCTCGCTGCCGTTGATCGGCCTTGGGCATCCTCCTCTCTGCACTCTAAGCTGGCTATAAACTGCTGGGTTGTGCAAGAAGTGTGCAAACTTTTCCTTTGGGTGGCAGAATTTTTGTCAAAAAACATCCTACACAAGCTCACTGCAAGTGCGAGCACGGAGTTAAAACCCTCGAGGCAGAGTCTCGGGAGAAGTGCCACGTCCTGCGGGGGCTGGGGGGCTAGCTTTGCGCAGTCAGGTATCTATGCAAAGATTGTGTGCAGGTGGTTTGGGGGAGGCAAGAAAACAGCAACTGTTTCCCCCAAAGGGCTGGCCCCAGAGGCAGCTGAGAGCAAGGGTTTGAGGGGCAGGAACTCCGGCCAAGAAGCAGCCCGAGAACGCAGGCCCTGGGAATTTGCAGACATGGCGGGGAGGGTGCAGGTCACGGGAGAGAGGCAGGCGCCAAATCTCGGAGTGACCCCAGATGACATCTGGATAACATCTGGTGCACAAAAGAGCCTGACCCAGCCAGACAGCAGGAGCCCGGCAGGGCTTTCCAACACCCAGCAGCGTTTTTTAAATAGCTTTGGAGAAATTCTTTCACAACAACTAACTCACTACCAGCCGCCCGGTTCAGCTCCAGCTCAGACACACCCCAAGACGCACACGGCCATGACGGGTAGTAGTAACTTAGTATTTAACGCATGTTTAGTACGCAGCAGGATCTGTACTATCACTTTACACATATTAATTTGTATAATGCCTATAACAATGCCTTGGGGTGAAGCAGCCAGAGGAAGCTGCTTCAAACGGACCCCAGGGTGGGAGCCCAAGATGCCCCATCCCAGCCTTGCAGGCCCCGCAA